ATTTGAAATATAAGAAAAAATAATCAAATTATTATTTCACCTTATCAGTACTTGTCTCGGATATAAATACAGAGTTGAGTGGAATGTTGAAGCAGGATGCAGCAATCTGAGCCACTTTTGTATGCAAACCTTGCCCCATCTCAACACCCCCATGAGTGACTAATACAGTTCCATCTGTGTACACTTGAACTAGTGCACCTGCCTAAAAACCGGAAAAGCCAGTTGACAAATCATAGTCAATATCAGGACTAATATGAGTCGAGACAAAACCTATCAAATCGTAAATAACAAACAATATATTTTTTAATCTAAAAGAAATAGAGAATTAGATATTATAACCTTTGCTGTTTCAGAAAGTTGCAGAACTGTGGACAAGGAAAACTACCTGATTCATAAACTTTGCAGTAAAAGCAACTCCAAATTTTGTAGGGACAATTGCGACTCCACGTTTTTTCCACCTATTATGAAGGTTGAACTGCTCAACTTCTTCACGAGCACCCGAAAAGTTACATGATATCCTCAATTGTTTCCAAATACGCTCTAAGGTGCAATTTTCTAGCGGTTGACCATAATGTGTCACTGATCCCTCTCTCTGAAAATTCATCTCCTAAAAAAAACAAAACATAGAGAAACAAGAAAAAAATGAAAAATAAGAGGACAAAATTATACTACCTCCTATTCTTTTTAAATGTCATTTTGGCTTTATTAACTATTTACCAAATAAATGTCGTTTTGGATCTTTTGTACATATTTTTCCATTATTACCCTCATTTAGCTAATAAATACACTATGTCTTTTCATATTCACTATTCATTTTTTCCCAAAGCATCATTCTCTATCTTCATTAAAAAAGGTTATTATTGGCAAAAAAAATATTCTTAATTACTGTGCAACTTCTTAAAATGACACTTATTATGAATAGGAGGAAGTATTACACAATCATAAACTAATATTAGGGTGCTTATCATCAGTTGACGGATACAAAATTATAAATAATTACTCGTGAAGATATAGTACATACCCTAATTTCTTCTGGAGTTTTCTTAACTTCCATGGAGATTCGTTGAATCCAATTTTCAGCAATTATCATACCTTGTGGTCCCCCAAATCCTCTGAAAGCAGTGTTACTTGGCATATTAGTGAAACAGACCTTTCCTTTAACCCTAATATTCGGGATCTCATATACATTCTCTGAATGAAACATGGATCGTTCAAGCACCGCAAACGAAAGATCAAGAGAGTTTCCCCCATTATTGAATATTTCAACATCCAATGCGAGTAATTTTCCTTCATTCGTAAAACCCACCTACAAGATATCAGTAAAGCATCAGTTATGTTTATTCAACATTATGGAGTGAGCAACAGGGGGAAAAAGCAAAACAAAATACATTAATAAGTAAACTGTTAACGAATATGGATCAGCAGTGAATATCTTCCTGTACAAAGAATGACCAATTACCCAGTTCTGTATACCTCAATATTCTGCCAGTATATGAAGCTGTCATGATGCAGATTTTGCAAATTCTAAAATCAATTGTGTTTTATTTGTGTTCACTCTGTTGCTCTCAACCAAAAAAAAATGTCAGTCAGTTTCAATATGGTCACTTTGTCGAAAAAATATACAAATGAAAAAATAATAAAAATGGTTAAATATTATCCTAATTATCAAGAATCAAATTTTTGCACAGCAATTACGGAGACAAAAAATACCTTATACTTCCCAAGAAAACTATGACGTTGCCCAGTGATCATCATGTCTACATCCCGATCTAATATAAGCTTTACAGGGCGATTCAGTAGATATGAAGGAATAGCAGCCACAGCTGCAATGAAAGCAGATCTTGTTTCTTTCCCTCCAAAACCACCCCCGATTCTTTTGGTCTTGCAGACAACTTTGGACATTGGCAGCCCAAGAACACGAGCCACATATTTCTGGTGCTTCATAGGAGCCTGTCAATAAAGCATAGTTACAATTCAAACAAGATAGACTAAATAGTGAAAATCCTATTTTCACATTGGACACACGTAAAACATAATGCACATAACATGGAAAAATCATTTTCAAAACCACAGCCTAATAACTGTTGGTAAGGAGGTCCAATTACTACTTTGTAGCACTCAAGCCACATAAGTCTCATGCAAAGTTTTATTGGCTAAGTGATAGTAGGAGTAACTCTTCCAAAATAGTACAATGATTGAGTGATGCACATATCTTCTAATTAACTATTTGATGCATTAAATATTAGCGCCAATCTCAATTTCAAAGTTTCATGACAACCGCAAGTACCCATAAATGTACCGAGACAAAAATAGTTATCGTGTCTTCTCAATGATGGTTTCTCACTAACAAATAAAACTAATACATCCAAAATTTTTTCCAATTTAAAAAATGGAACAAGGCTTTCGATTTAGAATGTCGATTTGCAAATGGCATAGCGCATTCACTAATGTACCAGCAAAAAGGTTCTATTATTTGTCCTTGAGGGCCATTGCAAGTTCAAAAAGAAATACATTAGCCCTTGAGGGCCTATGCATAGAAAGTGAAAAGGAATTGAAAAGGAAGGAAAGAAAATGAAAGAAAGAAACTTACTTGAGTGGATGAGATCATATGAACCTCATTTCCACCATCAGCTGTCCATACAAAAGTGCCATGTGGCTCCAGGTAAAAATGCTCCTGACCCCCAACATGGACCTCTCCCTCTATTATATTATCACACTGCCCACAAGAGAAGCAGTTATCAACGTCTCCTTTCCTCAGAAGTCTTTCAGGATTGGGATGAAAGCTATTAAACTTTATGGCATCTTCAATGGTTAAGATTGCTGGTAGTTCCTCATACTGAACATGCACTTTTCGAGCAGCGTTTTTAGCATTTTCATGTGTATCAGCCACAACGACCCCAATAACCTACAAGATAGTAACATAGAAACATGCGACTTTAGTGCGTAAGCTGGCCGCAAATAGAAGAGAAAGCAGGTCACAGAATATCATTCTTGTTTGTTTAGAAGTTAAACAGGTCAATTTCCACTGCAGCTAATTCGTGCCCATGCTAAATTTTGGATATTCCACCACCAGTCCACGAGATATATTTTCACAATTTTTTATTAATTTCATTAATCATTTACACAGATAAATCAAATTTCCAAACGTGAAAACTCTAATATTTTAACGAACAAGAAAGCTAACTCATTTTTTATAGAATCTTAACTACTCTGTAACATTTAATGATCAAGAATGCTAAATCATTGTTTAATAGACAGATTCATAATTACATAGGTTCCACAATATATGATCTAATCTGGAGACTTGAGAGAGAAAAAAAATTATAGAAAGCAGTAGCAAAAAGAAAGTAATGTTTGAGTAGAAATGAGAACAATTCTGTAAGGATTCATTGAGCGGTGAATTTGAAGCTAATTATGTCAAATCCATTGATTGTCCATTGCAAATGGAGCTGGAAGAGTCATTGTTGACAATTCTCCTCGCATAGTGCTAATAATGGACTAGATCAAAATGGCTCAATTAAATTCTAGTGCTTCTTCTATTAGTGAAGTTTCTAGAAAAAAAAAATATATCAAACGGCGCAATGCACCTTGGGTCGCTACGGAAACAGCCTCCTTGTATAATTACAAGGGTAAGGTCTGCGTACAACTGACCCCCCAGACCCCAACCTGTTGGGAATATACTGGGTATGTTGTTGTTGTTGTTGTTGTATGTCAAATCCATTGAGTTTCTTCAAGTACCATCACAATGGTGGTAAATCATTAAACTCAAGTTTTGTGATATTTTTCAAGTCACAATGGTGGGTCGTACATAGATCCACTTATCCCGGACTTGCTGTTAAAGTACTCCCCAGAAATCATCGAAATGCAACCCTAATCTTGGCGTAAAATTCATCAGTCACGTAACTCGGGTTACCAAACATTTGATCTTTCAAGAAAGATAATCTCTTTCCACAAATAAAAATATATAATCTCTTTCCTCAAAAAATTCTATGGTCAGGCACCCTTTGCACCGTTGTACTATCTTGATGTTAATTACTTCACCAGCACTTGACATTGTGTCAAGAGGATAAAGTTAAGGAATGTCATTTAGTTATTGATCCTTAACCTTGGATTTAATTACTTTTTAATACTATAAACATTTTCTGTATTAAATAATAAACAATTTATTTAATTACTTATGTATGGTATTATGGTATGTGGGTGCCTACTGACATTAGGCCTTCTAACCTTAGAATCACCATAATACAACTCGGTACCAATAATGAGTTAAGGCCCCAGGAACATACTTAAGAAAGGTCCACCACATAAAAGCTTTGATAAAGACATTTCCTACAACAGTAAGAAATAAATAAACTTTACCTGACCCACACACGTAACAACTTCTGAAGCAAAAAGTTCCTCATCAATTACTATTGGCCCGATTTTATTGTTCCCAGGCACATTCTTAGCAAAAAATATACCCGCAACCCCAGGGGAAGATTTTGCTGCTTCATCGTCTATGGAAAGGATACGAGCATGAGGCTTCTTGCTTAATATAAGTGCAGCATGTAAGCCATTAGGAGGCATGGGTACATCATCTGTATACTCTGCCTCACCTGTAACCTGCCATTAATCAGAAGTCAGAGTGACTTCAGCTGAGAAAAAGGCTCCCATGTAAACAAACTCAAAAAGGCATTAAATTTCAACCAGCAAAATCACAGTTTATGAAACTTAGTTGAGATTAAACCCAAGGGACCTTTTCCTTTGTCATATATCGAAGTTCAGTAAAACAACATATGAATCCAGAAGGTTGTCCATACATTTTCAAGAAATTTGGCGGAGAAAATTCATAGTAATTTTATAGTGGGAAGGTTCAAGCCAACAACAGACTCCACATGCTCCAAGAGCCATTGTTTAGATGGGGATGCACATATTCATTTTAACGAAAGTTAAAAGAAGCATTCTAGTAGCTAATGTTTCAAATGAAGATTAGGCAGCCAAGAAGTGTCATATAAGATCTTCTTTAGAGGTAAGTCCTGAAGCCTATGCTAGACTGCTAGTGATGTTTAACATGTAGGTGATGACATGCATGTGCAACTGAATGTATCTGTGCACGTGCAAGTAAAGTAAATATAAGAAAATATATAATGAAGGTAGAGATAAAGGAAGCAGAAAAGAGAAAAATATAGGCATTAAGATTTTTGCATTCTTACCTGGAGTCTCGATGAAAGATGAGCCTCGGGTGCTCCAACAGCACTCCCTCGCTTTACAATGTCATAATCCTGACTTCCTATAACAAAGGGGTGGTGAAATTCTTTTATTGCCGAAAGATAAGATGCTGGTACTTTTTCATCAAAAGAATCCAGTCCATCCATTTGATCACAGACCCACAAAAAAAATTTGAAGAAAAAGCTCAAAATCAACGACCTACGAAACTCCACCATCCCGCCTGGCGCATTTTCCTTCAGTACGATATCATTCTCCAGTATCCCCAAAACGCCCTTCAAGACCTCTTTGCTCCATTGCTTCCCAATAAGAAATTTACTTGTTTCAATTGCACAAACCGAGTAAGGAGCAACTCCCCCATAAACAACTAACGCATCAGAAACGACCCACTTCCCATCCTTCTCTTCAAGGCGGGCCCGCATTCCAGCATTCACGATAGCAATATCATCCTCTCGCCTGTGAGCCTGCTTGAATTCCTTCACGAATTCAAACTTCACGTTCCAGGGCAGAAAAACCGAAAGAAGTATCTCGTTACTCTCCAAATTCACTTTGCGGTAGCCTAAGAAAAATTTATCAGCTGGACAAGTCCGTGTGTTCCCTTTACTATCAGATATTCGAAAACTTGCCCGAGCAGCAATCCACAGAGGGTTCAGGTCTGATATAGGACTTGCGGTACATATATTGCCACCGATTGATGCAACGTTTTTTATCTGCACCCCAGCAAACCATTTTAACTGCCGAAGGATGGCTCTACAAGATGAGGTTTGGAAAGAAGCACGTTCATCTATAACTGTTTGTAACACTTTGACTAGCTGAGAGAGTTTAACACCCGAGCCAATCTCCAAGCCTTCATCTTTTACGGCCATGTGATTGAGTTCGGGCACATGTGACACATGGATTAGAACAGGATAGTGCAGATTTTTTAACCTTGTTTCGATACCTACCTCTGTATTACCAACAACTAATTTGGCATCCGGATATCGGGCTTTAATGTCAAACACATGCTGAAGCTTTAGTGGACGGTACCACTTAAGTTGGTTCGACCCATTCAGACATAAACTAGTTAATTTCCTCAATTTAAGCTCAGGAGGAAAAATAAGCTCTTTGCCAGTGTAGGAAGCCCCATCAACATCATTGTAAGAGATCGGCTTTATAACTTTACCATAGCATATACTTTTCGTGGTAATTTCTTTGTCATCCCCCTTTACATTCGACCCACATGAACACGGTTTACCTGTTGAAGGGCAAATAAACTCGCTGCCCGCGCGACCTGAGGAGTCATTTGTGTACAAAGCATCATCTGTTCTTGCAAATACTCGAAATGCGTCAACTATTGGTCTGTAACCTGTGCATCGACATAAATTGCCCACGAGGTTTTCTTCAATGTCCTCTTTGGTGGGTGGTCTTGGAGAAGATCTCAGCAAGGCATAGAGTGACATAATAAAACCCGGAGTGCAGAAACCACATTGTGAGCCATGTGATTGAGCTAATGATTCCTAGTAGAGTCAGTATAGGTGATATAAGAATATACTTTGATACAAAATGATATTAATGCACATTCACGAGTATGTTGGGAACAAATGCCAAAAGTGAAATATAGTTTGTATGACGAAACAGGAATTGAACATCTTACACCATGATTAGGTGATTGTGACTTTGAAGCTTGAAAGTAAGTCCAAGAGAATATTATAATAAACCTAATCTACCTTAGAAGAACTAAAGGATCTTACAGATGTCACTAAAATATAGTTTTAAGGTAAACATTTACCTTAATGTGAAACTTAAGATCATTTTTCTGGGAAGTGACTTACAAGTACAAAAAAGTTAACCCTCTCTAACCTTTAGTCTACAGATGATATGAGCAATGCTTTTATGTGGAAACTTGAGCATCATTATAAGTGTAAAAGAAGTAATACTTTTTTTTGCAACACCATTCTCATTAGCAAAAGACTAGTTATACCTGGATTGGATGTAAACCATGTCTCTGATTACCCACACCCTCAACTGTAATAACGTGCATTCCTTCTAGAGAATACAGAGGGGCCAAGCATGCATTAATAGCAAGATGCCTGAAAATATTCCAACATGTTAAAATTTAAATACAAATAGTTATTCCTTTGTTTGATTATCATAGACATGTCATATATTCAAAAAATACTGACTTACACTCCAATAACCAGTAATCATGAGAACCGCAAATAATTTTCTTTTATCTTATCATTATTATAATAAATAATATCAAATGTATTGATGACTAATAGTTATTATAAATTATTTTATTATATTTGTACTTAAATGGTAACAGAGAGAGGGGAAGACTCACACACATTTCTTGGAATTCTGGTCAAGATAAGAAACCATCACAGTGCATGCCCCACAACCACCCTCACCACAACCAAGTTTTGTCCCAGTCAAGCCTATATCTGTATTCAGGATGATAGTAAGAAAGAGAAAAACTTGTAAAACAAACAAAACCATAAGGAAATGCAGGAAGGTTCAAATGCACAACTGCATTAGTTCTATCGGAGTTATACCCATCTAGAAAGCAAGACAAAGTTTGAGGATCAATGATTCTAATAGCATCAGAATCGTCAACAGTCATTTAGAAATTAAAGCCAATGTGCCTCATAGACAGAAGCATGTTTTTATTACATGCTGCAGCACCAATATTACCTGATATTTACTCAACCCAAATTACATTCATCCTCTAAGACTAAGTGTCAAGAGCAATTTCTTAAGTACTATAAGCAATTCAAGAATATGAAAGAGACCTAAAAGATACCAACCAAACAGTGAAAAACTTCTTTATGAGTCGGTCTTCAATATATAGTTCCAACAAAAGGCAGGTTTACCAAAAACAACACACCAAAAGCAACTGTCACTATAATGCTAACAAAATGAGGGATATAAATACTCTAGGAGTTATAAATTCTTCCTATCAAGAGAACAAAGTAAAAAATGCCGATTTTAGAAAGTTGCAACTCATAAATTGTAGCAAGATGAATGCAATTAACATGTTGCCCCGTATATGACCTTTTTAATTATCGCAAGGGATCCAAGAAATCAGCTAACACCAAAATCAAAATCGAATGATCAATCACCAGGTTAGCTTTTAATAGAACAGGAATACAGTCACATCAAAAAGTGTTCCTTTTTAATCTGGATCTTCATGGGGTAGATTACCATCAATAAAGCTATCAAACAAAACTTTCAAACAAAGCAATCAAAAACACACAAAAAGCTAATCATTAAATCATAACAGAGCCCCAAAATAAGGAACACTCAAAAAAAAAAGTTCAAAAATTTAATCTTTGCCAAAGTACGCGTTACCTCTGAGATATTCAAGAAGAGTGAAATGGGCCAAACCATCAGGCAAAACACGACGTGCCCCATTAATGTAAATAATGGGTTCCTTCGTTTCGAAGTCTTCTAGATTCTCCATATTACTCTCTGTCATCAAAGAACCCATATTTTTATAACTTTCGATCTCCTTTGAATTTTTCGTACAGAAATCTAAGAACAAGAACTCGGGTAGAGAGAGTAAAAAAGATGGGAATTTGAAACATATGCGGTGGGGTTTTCAGTTTTCACACAGGCCCCTCTGTCAAAAATTGGACACTATTTGGTGCTAACGAAATTCGTGATCTTATTTTTGGCATTTACATGCAGATATGGTGTACTAATTTCTTGATTTTGTTTCCATTCGGGAAGAGGGCTGCAGCCTGCAAACTGCTGTATGCTGATGCTGTGTGAGAAGTACAGTTGGGTTTTCCCTTCTTTTATTTCTCGTCGGTGTTTTTGTTTTTTCTTTTCCCCTTCCTGTGGTAAACAGATGTTTTCAACGAAAGTATTCATTTTTTTTTTAAACTCCAATTTTGACATAATTTTATAATTAAAAACATTGAAAAACTGGTAGAAAATTTAAGTTCGATCTATTTGATCTAATTTTTTAAGAAAAAAAATTAAGTTCGAGTATGGATTTGAAGAAAAAAATAGAAAATAGTAAGGTAATCATTTTATTTACTTTGTAGACTTGTTTGCAATGTTACAAAAATCACAAATCAAATTTTACATTCAAACTTAGGAGTATATTCGTTTGAGTTTTGAATGACGTTTTGTTTTGAGGCTTTTTGATATTTGAAATTTTTTAATATTTTTAAATTTTAGAAGTGTGATATGAAGTGGAATTTCATATATGATTTTTTCTTTTAATATCTCAGTCAATCTTAAATTTTTTTAATAAATTCTAATCTTAAATAAATTAAATATCTCGATATTTTTAGAAGTCTAAATTAAATACACTACAATTCTAAAATCTTAAAAAATTTAGAAATTCAAATGAATACTTCCAAAATNTGTAATATTGTTAAAATTTAAAATGTTTTCAAAAAAAAAAAATTAAGTTGAATTTTTTGTAACCTTAAGTTTGAAAATGAGATTTGATGTGAGATTTTGCATGTATAAATACCACAAAACTTTAAAAACATCAAAAATAATTTGATTATTACATTATCATTATTCATACTTTTAAATATACCTCAAATCATACAATTGCAAGGATATGGAAGGTTAGTACTTAGTAAGGATATGGGTCTATATTCGCATCAACACGTACCGAGCACGTGCAGTCCTATCCCCACGACCTATCTAGATTATCAAGATTGGCTAGTTACGTGACGAAGAAGGCCCCAGCAAATTATATCCTGTTTTTGTTGATTTTGCCATTTATCAACTTTTAGGTCAAACATACGAAATGATATCGCCATATCCAAGATATGATTCAAATCATGCTTATCTACGTACCATGATAGAAATATTAAATTAATTATTTTCACAGGTTTTGTCTATTTAAGTATATTAGTGTATACCCCGTGCGATGTACGGAAATAATATTAAATTAATAATATTATAAATAGACCTCCAGTTTGAGTCACTCAATGACCCAAGTGGAAACTACTATTGATCCTATTTAAGAAAAGGAAACAAAAAAAATAATTATAAATTAAAAAGGAAGATAAACAATATTTAATAATTATAAATTAAGGATTCGGGGTCGAACAATGTAAAATTATTTTGTATAAGATAATATAAAAAAATTTTATTACACACCATTTCAAAATTATTATTATACTTTTTTGTATGGTTAGCTTATAATATTTGTAAAGATATTAGTAATTAGACCGATAAAAATTAGCTTCTTAAAGTAGATAATGGATTTTCAGTAATAATTATGAATTGGTTTCTATTTTATTTTATTTTTCCTTTTTAAAGATAATGGATTTCTAGTAGTAATTATGAATTGGTTTCTATTTTATTTTATTTTTTTAAATCTGTATAGATAAGGGATGAAATTTTTTAAACACGGGAGACGTATGCAATGGGATTTTGTAACAGAAGAGATAAGCGTGTAGATTTATACTAAAAATAGGAAAAATAAAAACAAATATTTATTGTCAAACAACGGTTTTGATAAACTAAAAAAAATGAGCCGATTTTTTTGCCTATTTAGATTTGTCCAACAATTACTATATTAGGATATATTTAATGATTTTGGCGAGAAAAAGTTTCTAAATTTGTAAAAAGGTTATTCTTTTTATATAATGATAGATAACGCAATAGATTACCATCTAATTTCCACCTCTTTTAATGAGTGTAATAAAGAATAAGATTACAATCTATTTTTTGCACCTCTTTTAACGTTGTTTTTTTAGTCCAAACATTAAATACCAGCATGTTATAGCTAACTTGTAAAATAATTAATATATTATCTCACTAACACATTTATACTAATATAAATTTGATTTTATATATATATTTATTCCTTGATATAAGAGAAAATAACAATTTTACTTATTCTTGTTCATCATATAATGTCATTATTATTAAATTATTATTTTATTATAAACTTTGTTGTCGCATAATGTCATTATTATTTATAAAGTTATAGAAATTGTACGTCTTCTTTTTTTTCATTTTTATGTAATGAAAAATATTTAATGCACGTTAGTATTATTTATTTATGTAATCAATATAAAATATGTAAATAAATTTAAAATTAAATAGTTTATAAATATTTTACAAAATCTACACATGTTTTTTTAGAATTTAATTAGAAAATGCCAAAAACTCAATCCCTTCTATGATCAAGATTTTTTTAATTTGCATTATAAGCATTTATAGTTTATTTAGCATTCTTTGCAACGAAAATATATTTTACAAGAATTTAATTATAGAAATAAATCAAAATAAAAAAAATAATCATGGGCGCCAATAATATACAAATAAATTCTAAAAAATAGTTAATATATTTTAATTTTATTTTTTTACAATTAGTGAAACTATTTAATGTATCTGGTCATTATCTCTTAAATGCTAAATTATATTAATTTGAAGAACAACTTGTTTTTTATATTTAACAAAATAAAGCTTAAGAAAAAAATATATTGGCAAAGATTAATTCACCAATTTGGTTTTGTCTGATTACTTGGAAAAAAAATACTACCTGTTACGATTTTCCATAATTATTTTTGGATACAAAGTGAATATTTGTGAAAAAAAATTAATATTATGGTTAGAACTTAAAATATGGTGTAATATTTATTTTGACCAAAATATTATCAACATGGATCATGGAAATCAGTCTTTTAATTTATTATAATGAATATCAATGAAAGTATTACAAATATTAATAAAATAATATTTATCTTGACTAAATTATTATCAATATGAATCACGAAAAATCAATCTTGTAATTTATTATAATAAATATAATTGAAAATAATTCAGATATTAATAAATTTATTTAAGTAATTTTTTGATCATATCTTATTTGATCTTATTTGAAAGCGTGTATATGGAATCAATTAATGCATATATTTAAAAAGTTAATAAATTTATTTTCGTAATCTTTTGATCATATCTTATTTGATCTTATTTGAAAACATGGATATAGAAACAATTAATGCGTATATTTAAAAAGTTTCCAAAAATGGTTATGCATTAAATGTTTCCTAAATTTTTTGCTACTATTTTTAGTAAATGGTAATTCTTATTATATATATATATATAGATTATGGCCCCGTTTGGTAGATAGCGGATTGAAAATAAATTAACGGATTTGACTTAATTGAGAGGTTTGACCCGTCAAATCCGCTATTGAACCTGTTTGGTAAATAGCTTATTTGATAAGCTTTTTGGGCCCAAAACTCTAATTTAGAAAAAGCTCAGCAGCGTTTTGGGATAGAGGATTCACAAAAGAATCATTTACTAGGGAACTTTTTAATTTGGATTATTTATTTTACAATTTACATTGGTTTATGGTGTTAATAAATAATAATATGGCATTCATATGATTAATGTATCTAGAAAAATATAAAATTCATAACTTCTTCATCAAGTGTTAGTAAATTTAAAAAAAAAAAAAAAAAAAAAATGGCAAAAAAAAAAAAAAAAAAAAAATATTTATAAATTACCAACTAAAGAATATTAAATGTTTTAATATATTATTATTAAAAGAATACACCCTAAATAATAATATATCCTTATTGGTCATTTTGCAATGTCAAACAGTTATAAGCTTTCAGCTATTTACCAAATACTTATTTAAAAACCGCTAATGCAATCCGCTGGTCAAATCAGCTAATATAATCCGCTATCCGCTGATCGCCAAACTTTTTAATATTCTTTCAATCAATTATTTCAACATATTAGGCATGATGTCGCTGCACAGTTTTTCCTAAATTTTATGTTACAAAATCACGTTTATTTAGTGTTATGCACTTCGAAAATCAGATCTCATGTGTATGTATCTATCTAATGAGAATGGTGCTCAATAAAATAAATAAGAATAATCTTATTCATTAAATCATATGATCCAATGACTCAAAAAAATGCTAATTTTTACACTCATTAAAGGTAATGTAGTAATATCCCAATCATCCACCTGGACCCACCCCACCATCAACAACATGCCACCCCCCACTTGCCCCTTACTCCCATTATCTCTCTCTCTCTCTCTCTCTCTCTCACGCACACACACACACAACTAAACCGATACACACACGCGCACAATAATCCCAAACACACACACTGTAGATGAACTTCGCCGCTGACCATCGTCTGAGAGTGGAAGCCCGACCACCGCCATGAAATCCGTCGCTCGCCATCGTTCACTGACCACTGCTCCTTTCCGACGCCATCTCCGCCACCGGTGCCGCCGACCGAGGCTATCCACTGCCAGCTTCCTAATTCTCCGAAGGCCGCCTATTCAGCGCCGCCATATCTTTGGATTTCCGTCACAAATGCCGACACTGACGTCCGCCCACCCGTGTTGGCCGCTCCAGGTCAGCCGCAACCACCGCCACGTCTTCCTCCATCTACCCAACCTCTGCGGCCAAGTTGCTCCCTCGCTTGATGATGTCCAGCGACACGGGTTCGAGGTCAGTAGGTTATAGGTCAAATGAGGAGCAATTTTGGGAGTGGGGAAGAAGACTTGTTACAGAAATTAAGGCTAGGAGTGGTGGGTTTTTTTTTTATTTTTTGTAAATTAGATATTTTTAAGGGACCTGATTGTAAATTAAGAAGTTTTAACTATATTTCAATTAAATCTATGGGCTAAATTTGTAATTTATATAAAATATTATTTTATATATATAACAACATATTTTTTATACATATTTATTGTTTTTTTTCAATAAAAAATAGTATAGAGAAATAAACAAAATTATTAAAATACTAAATAAATTTTTGTAATATAAATAATAAATTATTTCATTTATTTATGTTAATTTGATTAGTCAACAAAATAATTCGACTATTTCGGTTCGGTTTTATGTTAATATA